ATCTGCAGGTTTTCCACTGCACTGTACAGTGCATCAAACACTACCATCACACACTACCATCACACACTACCATCACACACTACCATCACACACTACCATCACACACTACCATCACACACTACCATCACACACTACCATCACACACTACCATCACACACTACCATCACACACTACCATCACACACTACCATCACACAATACCATCACATTGAAGCCCTCAGAGCAACACTGATATTAATTCATATATAAGATGATTGCGTCACCAGGGATCATCATGTCAGATGCATTCGTCTTGGAAACAGAGTGTGTATCTTCTTGTGTTTCTGTTTGTGGCTCAGTCCCGTCTCCGAGGCCGGACAACTCGTTCCACGAGGGCCGGGGCCCGACCCGGGGCCAGGGGCCGGCGTTCGATCCCTGGTGAGAGTCTGTGGTTACTCTTTATTTTAAATGTTGTTAAAGAGCAGAGTTGAGATTCTATTCTGAAGATATTTTGAGATGAAGTTCCTCTCTGCTCAGATGATCCCTCTCACTCGGTCCAGCCTTAATTATTATTGGATCTGTGTCTCTTCAGGACGGGTCCGGACACGGTGGTTCTGAACCCCGCGGAGCCGTCCAAAGAGAAGGAGAAGCAGGGCTTCTTCAGAGCCATGAAGAAGAAAAAGAAGAAGCCTCAGATGGTAACCGTCCTCTGGGTGGGGGGGGTGGGGGGGGGTCTTCAGGGTCCCGACATGTGTGCTGTATGTGCATCTTTTGATTCGGCTTCTTTTTTTAAGTTCAAAATCGCCCAACCCCAGTTTTCATAAAATGTTGCCCCCATTTACTCCAGTTCATCAAAACCCTCCCTGTTTGTGGATTGTGGACTTGGCATGCCAGAAAACCTCAAGTGTTTTTTGAGAGTAAAGGTGATTATTATTTGGGGGAAGTATTCCTTTAGATGAATGGGTCTGGCTGGGTCTCAGCTGATTTACAGCTGATTTACAGAACCTGCACTCATAGGGTCTCACAGGGTCAGTGTTGGCTTTGGTTCATCTCAAGGGCTCTCAGGAGTCTGTGTTGCACTTCCTCCCAACATCACACAGGAGCGTCTGTCAGCGTCTTCCTCTAAAAGTGCATTTTGAACCTGTGACCCGATATTATACAGATCAGGAGGGAGGGGTCCCAAAGAAAGAGCTGTGAAATATAAAAGCAGCCACACTTTGACAGTTTAATCCCCTCACATTTTTATTTTCAAGTGGCGGTCTGTTCAAATGCTGGGAGGGGAAATTGCATTTATTTGCACAAATAAATGCAATCTGGCCCGGAGGAAGCAGGCAGGCTCACAGTGATGGAGGATAATGCTCGATGAGTTAGGAGCAGAACATGTGAATATACTTAGGCTTCAAAGAGCATTTTGTGAGAAATGCATAAATACCGTTACCAATCAAAACAGAGGGTTCTCTTCTCTGAGGGATGCATTATGTCTGTTTTTATTTAATGACCGCACTGCACTTAGCGTAATGCATTCACTGAGGACAAGACATTTGCCCTTTTTTCTGAATTAAGAAAACCTTATATCAGAATTACGATCACTTTCATGGAAAAATAACTAATATATACTAGTATATTAACAGAATGTAAAGTACATCACACAGTCATACGTCTTCTAAAGCATGCCCTTGAGGTTTCAAAAGAACAAAACCTTTAATCCGTGGGTCTTGTTGTCCTAAACATTTTATGGTCACATGACACATTTATTTTGAACCTGTTTATTGATATCTGTTCCCGTTGTATGAAAGGTTCCCAATGAAGCGGTCGACAACGCCCTCCAGAAGTCCTCTAGATCCTCCAGTCACCAGAGCAGCCGCCACCGGACCCGGGACAAGAGCCGAGACCGGGACAAGAGTAGGGACCGAGACAAGAGTAGAGACCGGGACAAGAGTAGAGACCGGGACAAGAGTAGAGACCGGGACCAGGACCGGGACAAAGACTGGCCTCCTGAGAAACGTTCAGATTCACACTCTCCGGTGAGTCTCAAAGGAAAAACCCAGGTATTATACTGAAACATGTTTCTTTAAACCAGTGGTTCTCAACTGGTGGGTCGCGACCCAAAAGTGGGTCGCGGATCCGTTTCAAGTGGGTCGCAGATGTGTGAGTGAAGAAAAAAAAAATAGAAAAAACATATTTCCTTTTTCTTTTCTTTTTTGAGGAAAAAAAGTCAAACTTTTATTTTGAAGGACCGATTTTCTAACGCTGTGCATGCAGTAGACGTTGGACTGAAAGTACCGGAGACCATGAACGGTTTTGAAAACTTCTGTCAAGTAGTGATCATCTGTGATCATCTTCTCAATAAAACATCTTTGCTGATGTTTTTCCGAGTCTTCTGGCCAATCAGAATCAAGATTGTAGCCGGAAGTCCCCACGGAGAATAACTTCTTTATACACCCATGGGTACAACTTCAGATAAAAATTAAAACATAATGAAATATGACCCCTGTTTTGATGATTGACAGGTCCCAGAAAATGGGAG